AAATTTTAATTCAGACAGATTCGTTTAGTGTTAATTCTAGTAGGCTACAGAGTTTTGATTTTAAACGTTTGTTTAACCAACAGCTACTTGGGGATTTAGTTATTTTACTAGTGCAGTTGAAAGTACCTAAATTTTTAATCTCATTATCTAAACTATGTTCGCATTTTAGGCTGCTAATATGACAAACCAATCCATAAACCCAAATACGATTAGCAACAACGACTATGATGGGTTTATTGATAAATGTTAAAGGCGATTCAGATGACTTCTAAATTCAAAAGATATGAAGATATAGTGTAATGTATGTACGGGCCATGTTAACATGCAGGTTGTTGACGTATATAAAAATTTAAAAATAATGAACATGACCAGGAAAAGTAATTTTAAAGTCAAGACTGCTTATGAAACTTGAGGCAGGAATGTAACGCGTTATAATCATTCCATGAGAAGTTACGGCATTTAGCCTAGGGACACTTACAAATATGTGGCAAAAGCAACTAAAAAACATATACATGTTAAGTACAAAAAAATCATCCAGTAAAATAGTTGAACTCGCCTTGATTATTTTTGAAAATTAGATTATTCAGTGGACGACATATATAACGCCATTCGTGAGGAGTAGTAATGATCCAAAAGCATCCAGAATAAAACATACAGTATGGCAATCACTTCCAGGGTGCTTGATGCTGTTGAGGTCTTTGGGACTCGCTCTGATCAGAACAACTGAATGAATCCAGATAATTGTGTGTGCCATCTAAAATGAACTTATGATTGCAGAAAACTTATAGCTGGAACTCACCGTATGTTTTTGGAGTAGTCATCCTCGTTGTTTGGCAATGGAACTCGAGAATATGAAATTAGGCAGGCAGTGGTCGGAAGAAAAGATATTACAGGATAGTGCATAGTTTAAAACAGGATGAGGTGTTAGTGAAGGAACACTGAGAATTAGATCCAGATAACTATTTGGTCCTTGATCGCATTGTTAGTCAATGTATATTTACGCTATTTACAGGTCATATTTGCTAGAGCTTGATGTTTAAACAAGACTATGTCGCTGAAGCATGTAAATGCTATTGCAGCTTGTTAACAAATCATCAAAGCTAATTAGTTAATATAGACGACCAGTTTTTGTTATCGATTGAGCTAGTTTGTCATGAGGACTAATCAATATAACATTACGATAATGCATGTGAGCATTAATCAGAGGACTATTGGAATACAGGGTTAACATAAATATAAAATCGATCGAGAAAGTTGAAGTGGAAATAAGGATTAATAACAATAGGTTGCGTTTCTTTAGTTGGGCTCACCAATGTAGAATTATGGTCTACTGTGATATTAGTACTGCTCTAATACTAGACCTAATCCTAAAATTATAGAATTAACATGATATAACTGCTTAATCTATGAGGTCTTGCGTGGAAGTTACATCATCGACTACACCAACTCACTGCATCTTAAGAATTGCCAATACATGATGGAGAGCAAGCTTAGGCTAGAGAAAGAACAATATATTTAATATGAATAACAGATATGAGGTAACATTCAGTAGGGACCACGCCTACATGGCCGAGCCATGCCACTCGATCAACACCAGTCCATTCAATTCATTCTCTGCGCCTCTCCATTGTTAGGTATTTCCCCGAGTTAAATATTGAATATCTATTTTCTGAGTAGTCTCGTGTTCACAGCTTTGTGGATTGTGTGGCTATTGTCCAATGCCACTACAACGTTACTGACCAGCAAACACGATGGTGAGTAGATAATTTCGATCCACCCATGTCTGTAGAGCAGAACATTTTGTTTAATTACGTCTCCTTATGGTCTATTGGAATGTCACGAACTAATGGTATTGGTGGTGATTTATTATGCAAAATACCTTATTAAATCGTGTTTAGAATGTTGAATTGGTTTCATTTTCTACCGAGTAATTCTATTACAAGCAAACTAGACAATTCGCTATAACCGAAGCCTACTCAAGATCCCATAAAATCAAAAAAGAGGGCTCAAATAGCTTCGACAAAAAGATGGAGACAGCCACTTGTGTATCATATTACTGTTGGTTATTTGATATCTGTTCGTAAGAAAAGACTTGATCCATTGCAAAAGGGGATTTATAATTCCAACTGACTTAAGTCTGTTGATTAGAAGGTTAGGAGGTACTTTATTAAAGGCTTTCTTGATATCGAAATATAGTATAACTAATTTCTTCTGGTCACGTATGCGAGTAACCTCGTTAAAAAAGTCTATCAGACATGTACTGAACGACCTTGTTCTAATGGAGCCGTGTTGTGACGGGTCTATTAAATCTTCCTTGAGTAGGTGATCAGATAGTTGATTTTGTATCACTTTTTCCATTATGCGTGATATGGCTGGAGTGATATTTATAGGTCTGTAGTTTTCGACCAGGTTTCTCGGTCCGGATTTGTGTTTGGGAAGAACATACGTTACCTTCCAGGTTTCCGGCTATGTACCTGTCTCTAAAGATAATGTGTATATTTTGAGTAGTAGCGTTTGAACGTCCGGCCCTGACATTTTATAAAGGATTGAAGGGATGTCATCGGCATCAGAACTCGCATTTGGCTTAGGGGTTTTAATTGCGGTATGTATACTCCTAATATCGAAGTTTATGGTACGAACATAGCTTTTGCCGATGCACTTGAGGTTGAGATCTGGAGCATGAGATGTATTCCCATTGTGAGAAAACCGTTCACATCTGACGGTTTGGTCATTATACGTCACTCCATCGTGCAGTAAAGAGTGAATATTGTGGTCTGCGTTCTTCCTTATGTGTTTCGTGAGGAGACGACATAGGGCTTGGGCTTTAGATGCAGCAGCGAGCGCAGTACGTTCCTCTACCTGTTTATGCTTGTTGTGTTGACTTTGTACTCCTTCAAGTACAGAGTATATCTGGTTCAGGGCACTGAAGTCTTTTGATATATAGTACATCCTTTTCAGTTTTCTCAGTTTGGACCTAATCTTTTGGTTTATATAGGGACTCGCTGCTTGAATCCCATATTCTAAATGTGGCCGCAGATAAATCGAATATAATAATCTAAGCACTTCATCATCTAAGTAATGGAAAGACCTACGAACAGACCATAATATCCTATGGCATTTCGCAGCAGCAGCCTTACAGTGACTACTGGTTTTGAGATCACTGCCTAATAGGACCCAAGATTGTACCTTGGGGAACCCCAATTTTACAGGTACTCACGAGGAGAGAGCCCCATTAACCCTTACCCTTTGTCTCCTGTCATGGAGAAAGTTACTTATCCAATCGACGACTGTGTAATGGATTCCAAAACGTTTCAGTTTGAATTTAAGACCAGAGTGGGAAACCTTATCAAAGGCTTTACTTAGATCTATGAAATTACATCCACAGGAGCATTCCGATCCTTTGCCACAGCCCACTCTTCTCGTGCAAGGAGAAGATTTGTCAAGCAAGATAGGCCTTTCCGAAAACCATGTTGTGCCCTGGAGAAAAGATTTTGCCCTTCAAAATACTTTATAACAGCTATCCGAATGATTTTCTCCATCAGTTTCACAACTGCACTAGTTAAGCTAACGGGTCTATAGTTACTAATTAAATCCCTACTCCCAGCCTTATACACCGGACTTATTATGGCGTCTTTCCAGTCTCTAGGAAGTCTGGACTGTCTCAGAGATATGTCGAATAGTATCGCTAATGGTTCAGCAATTTCATCTAATATGGCTTTCAAAATCCTATGGCGTCTTTCCAGTCTCTAGGACGTCTGGACTGTCTCAGAGACATGTCGAATGGTATCGCTAATGGTTCAGCAATTTCATCTGATATGGCTTTCAAAATCCTAGGATCAATATCATCGGGACCACTGGACTTATCACGTTTGAGATGCTGAAGTAGCCTTAAAACAGTACTTTTCTCAATGAATACAGGGTCCATCAGCGGGCCGCCACGATCACAATGAATCGTTAGTCGTTCCTTATTACTGATAGAAAACACTTTGCTGAAATATTCCGATAAAGCCTCAGCTTTTTAGGTATCATTTTCTGCCAAGATTAACGGGTTTTCTTGTATCAAAAGTGATGGAATTACATCGCTTCTCTGAGTTCACCTTTTTATATACACGAATAACCGTTTCGGACTATATCTAGAATCCCTAACCAATCGTTTTTCATATGATCGTATAGTCTTACTTATTAACGCTTTACAGGCGTTCCTAATCTTACAATAACTGGATCTGTATTGTTCTAAGCCAGCAGAGATGAACATATTCCAGTGCTTCTTCCTTTTTCTAAGAAGTTTCCTAGCAGATTTAGTTACCCATGGCGGACTGTTATTCGGTCTTCGTGGTACCAGGTATGGTTTGAACGAGGACGTTACTAAAGTTAACTTACTTTTAAATACAGACCATGCTTCTTCAACTGATAAGCTAGTATCTACAAACCAATCTGTCTTAGCAGCGCATTCCTGAATGGCTGATACGTTAGCTTTCCATACATTTGGGCGCGGTGTAACCTGATCGTATAACATGTCCCTAGTTCTAAACGCTGTTTACTAACGGTGGAAGAATATTTAAGTCGACAATATCCTCAGTCTCATGAGTGATTACCAAGTCCAGCAGAGAAGAACCCTGGTTAACACCAAAACGTGTGGGTTGGGATACACGCTGCACTAGTGCATGCTGCATTATTGTTATCAGGAACCTACTATCAAAGGAGTTTATAGATCCTTCTGTGGTCATATCAGTCTAACTAATATCAGGTGCGTTAAGGTCTCCTATTATCAAGCACCTGGTATTATCACTCCAAAGATGAATGTGCTTTAAAATAAAGTCATCAGCTAAGCAGATCGGGCTGTGATAGATGACACCGAGCATAAATGTACTACATCCGATAGCCAGTTCACAGCTAATGACATTACAAGTACCGCTATCATGGGATTCGCTAGAAGAGGAGCGGATATTTATATTATTGGCTATATATAACAGGACGCTACCTCCTTTATCTCTCGCGCGCGCTTTTGAAGGTTGTAACTTTTTTTCACGTGGTATTATTTTATTTTCCTATTAGTTTTTCTCTTTAATTTAACACTTAATAGCGATAAATAATTCGTCACTGATAGGGTTCTATCAACTTGACACCTTATTTAGGAACTCAACGTCATAAATTAATCTTGCTAATTCTCACGCTATCTCTATCACCAATTAACGTTAATATATTTACTCTTATCTAATACTGGGTCTGATCCTACCATAAAACTTTACACGTTCACTAAGTTTAATTACAACTATCGCCGTCCACCTAATTAAACTTTGTATTTACATTACTTCCGATAATGTCCAGGCCATCTAAAAAACACATAATCTCTCCTGATGCCTATAGCACCTGCAAAAGATCTAAATCAGTCACTAAAGCGAATAATGTGAAACCTTATAAACACACTGATCAGTCTGCATCCTACTCTGATCTTCCCTCAGCCACACTAAACGTGCACCGTCTACTTGGACAAGACATATCCCTACCTTGCATCTCGCTTGTCGATATAAATAAGAGCAGTCACATACCGTTAGAGTCGACATCATTTGTCAGTCCAAACAAAAACACCACATGTTGTGAGCAGTATTTAGACAGTGCTGTTGACCCCAAACACCCAGCAATCTCACAATCGGCCATCCTGAGTAGCGGCCCACGGAGTACATGTAAGCCTGCCTACAATAGCCAGTCCGGTGATGTAGATCTTGACTACTCACCCAGACATATACCCCATTCCCCAACTAAGTGTGCACAAAGTGAACATCCGCTAGACACCTGCAACAGGCCTGTATGTAACCATATCGACTTTAGAAACTTTGATATAAACTCCGATAATCTCACCACTGGTAGACCTAAAAGCAGCCAAACAGAACTTAGCCTCACCCAAACTATTCAAGACCTATTACCTTACAAATATTTAATCAGTGTTCCAGAAAATCCCGATCTGGAAATTATAAAAAACACTGAAAAAGTAATTGACCATATATCATCTGAAGTGTTGAAAAGACTTCAGTGTATGCAGAATGTTATTGTGTATAATATACCTGATAGTACGAACATAAAGATTGCTAAAAATACTCTGCTACAAGAATGTGGATTGTCGCAATCTTGGTGTGTAACAAGAAGATTACGTAAGGCACACACTAAAGCCTCCTGTCCCATTCTATTTCAGTTTGGTAGCACCACTGAAGCAAATCACCTCCTCAATAGTCAGTCATTACTGAGGCGTATTCCAACATTTAAAAATATTAGGATCATTCATGACAGGACCGCTATCCAGCGTCGAATCTGCAATGGAACACAAACTGATCAACCCAGCTTACGTAGCCGTGGCAGCTACAGCTCTTGTCACTGCACAAATCCTAAATTATCATACACTGCCCCCCCAAAAAACGGAGGCACGCCGGACACTGCTATTAGTCCTAAGGACAAGACCGCACATAAAGCAGCTACAACCACTCACCCTCAGCCCAGACACTCAGCTACCCCAAAATGCCAAACCACTTATGCCTCAATAGCGTCCAAGTATTACCCTAGCGGCCCTTATAAAATGCCTAAAAATGATCCTCCCAGGGAACGCGCTAACAGCTACAGACCCGCAGACACCGCTGTGCGAAAAAATACCAAACTCTCCGTAAAAACCCACCAATACTCCAGCACCCCTAACCCAAAACATGCACCTTCTCATAGTAATAGAATGCCCTACAACAAACATAGAGAACTGGCAACACCCACTCATCCTAATGTGAAACGACACTCGACAAGAACCACACCCACACGTGATACCCATGAGTCATATGGTGTCAACCTTGTAAGCCCCATGAACCAACACAAAACTATACACAACAGAAACACCTCTCCTGGCAACAATAACAGGCATTCCTTCATCCCTTACCAGAAACATACAACCTCCCCAACTAACCACAATAGGACTAAAATTGCCCACCGCACACGAGGAAGCCATAACGCTGGCCTACTTGGGAACCCACCTACAGATTCTAGGTACTATCTAAGTCAAGCCACCCAATACAACGGTTTGGTCCCCCCTAATTCGACATGCACACTATCTCATCCTTTTTTATCTCTCTCCCCCTCAACGTTACTGCTATGGGGTCTCCAAATGTTGAGGGCGACAATCCCACTATTCTGAAACCATCTATATACTCCGATTTAATGGGGAGTAGCACATCCTACTCAACTTCGATAACTGTCCCTAGTCTTGAAAACTCCTTGACTGAACCCCCTGATCATTCCCCGGACACATTACCTAATCATTCGACTCTACCTTCCACTCTTAGACATACTTCTTTCACCAAAACCACACCCGACTACCCTTCTTGCATTAACCCTACTGGTAATAAACTAAACACTCATCAATATGGAGTCAACGCTCCCAATTCTTCCTTTTCTCAGGGCAAAACAGACAAACCACTCGGTTTACATCATACCCTTCTACTAGACAAACAGTCACCGTACCTGACACTTATGTTAATCAACGCTCGATCTGTACAAAGTAAGATGACTTACCTACGCACCCTATTGCTTTTAAACAACCCCTCACTTGTTTTGATAACGGAAAGTTGGCTGTCCTCCGATACCACAGACACATTTCTACAAATAGACACTTATGAGCTCTTCCGCTGTGATCGAGTCATCAAGAAGGGTGGTGGTTGTCTCGTTTATGTATCAAAAAATTTGAGAGCGGAAACCTATAGCGACCACGTCCTCAGCAAACTTCCTGAATCGATATGGCTTACTGTGCACACTCATGAATGTAAAATACTAATCGGATGCATATATCGAGCTCCTAACACTCCTAGTTCAACTGACACTATTATAAGTGAGTCATTTGCTCAGGCTGCCTCGCTTGACTTCACATACAAAATTGTATGTGGTGATTTCAACCTTCCCACCATCAACTGGAAGACACATTCTGGCCCATTGTGCTTTGAAAGCATACTTAGGTCCTTAGACATACACGGCTGGCAACAACATGTACACCTGCCTACACGAAATCACAACATTCTTGACTTGATATTCTGTCATGGTGTCACACCAACATCAATGGTGGTTAGCGAAAAGTTTCACAACAGCGATCATAAAATAGTCCTCTGCACCCTTCCGATTCTTGCCATATGCAACAAATTAAAGACATTAAAAACGCGATTCCAATATAGAGACTATGCAAACGCTGACTGGGAAAACTTTCGATTTCTAATAAAGCACTCTGACTGGGGCAGTTTCTTTACCAGTAATAACCTCTTAGAAACATTAGAAATATTCAATATCACCACCAAATCTGCACTAGACACTACTATACCCTCTAAAATTGGTTTTAAAACAGTTACTCCCTATATAAACCAAAAGACTAGGTCTAAACTGAGAAAACTGAAAAGGATGTACTATATATCAAAAGACTTCAGTGCCCTGCACCAGATATACTCTGTACTTGACGGAGTACAAAGTCAACACAACAAGCATAAACAGGTAGATGAACGTACTGCGCTCGCTGCTGCATCTAAAGCCCAAGCCCTATGTCGTCTCCTCACGAAACGCATAAGAAAGAACACAGACAACAACATTCACTCCTTACTGCACGATGGAGTAACGTATAATGACCAAACCGTCATATGTGAACTATTAAGTGAATGGTTTTCTCACAATGGGAATACACCTGATGCCCCAGATATCGACATAAAGTGCACCGGCAAAAACTATCTTAGTACCATAAACTTCGACATTAGGAATATACATACCGCCATTAAAACCCTTAAGCCAAATGCGAGTTCTGGTGCCGATGACATCCCTTCAATCGTTTATAAAATGTCAGGACCGGACATACAGACGCTATTACTCAAAATATACACATTATCTTTAGAGACAGGTACATATCCGGAAACCTGGAAGGTAACGTATGTTCTTCCCAAACACAAATCCGGACCGAGAAACCTGGTAGAAAACTACAGACCTATAAATATCACTCCAGTCATATCACGCATAATGGAAAAAGTGATACAAAATCAACTATCAGATCACCTACTCAAGGAAGATCTAATAGACCCGTCACAACACGGCTTCATTAGAACAAGGTCGTGCAGTACATGCCTGATAGACTTCTTTAACGAGGTTACTCGTATGCGTGACCAGAAGAAACTAGTTATTATACTATACTTCGATATTAAGAAAGCCTTTGATAAAGTACCTCATAATCTTCTAATCAACAGACTGAAGTCAGTTGGAATTATAAATCCCCTTTTGCAATGGATCAAGTCTTTTCTTACGAACAGGTATCAAATAACCAAGATTAACTCTAATACATCTACACCTCGACCGATAACCAGTGGTGTTGTGCAGGGTAGTGTCTTGGGTCCATTGCTCTTTATAATCTACATCAACAATATATGCAGGTGTTTCAGCACAGGTAAGACCTACCTCTATGCCGATGACTTAAAAGTCATCTATAAAACTGACATTTGCGATTTACGCAGTACTATGCAAACAATCCAACATGAACTCAACATGGTAGATGACTGGTGCAAACGCTGGAGGCTAGAGCTCAACATAGAGAAATGCGGCTGGTTATGTATAGGAGACACGTCTCTTAAAATGAAACTAACAATTAGCGATCACACACTCCCCAGACTGGCATCAGTAACTGACCTAGGGGTACATTATTCACACAGTCTTAATTTCTCTGAACACATCACAGCCAAAGCATCCAAAATGCGGAAATTGCTTGGCTTCATTCTCCGTAATTTCTATCAAAATGAATCTAAAATCCTTCTTTACAAAGTTTGTGTAAGACCTATCGTTGAATACTGCTCGTTCTTATTTTCCAACCTACGTCTATCTGATATACTAAAGGTGGAAGGAATACAACGAGACTTCACCCGCAAAGTACTTAAGACTGACTCGGTCATTGACTACAGTTCTCGATGCCAAATCTTAGGAATAGCACCCCTTTGGAAGAGAAGGCTTAGGTCTAATTTGATTCTCTACTTCAAACTACTCAAAAACCTTACTTATTCAACATGTCAGATAATTCTTGCCCGAGATTCACATGAATACGAACTTCGAAACAAAGTATCTACGGTCAAAGTTGAGAAATACAGATCAAAAACTCGGGAAAACTTCTTCCTCACCAAGTATGCAATAATATGGAACAGTCTTCCTTCCGAGACTCGCATGGCAGATGAACTACATACGTTTGTGAAACTGCTTGATCAAGCCCTCACTCGCACTGATCTTGCACGTACGAACACATCTGCACCCCACTCAGACATCATAGGCTCTCTCCATGTCTAAACCAAAATGGACTTCAAGTTCAGTTTGCCTTATTTTTCCTACTTTGCAGTTGTATTAATTACTTTTTCCACCCCATTTCTTTACTTTAAGTAGACAGGTAACTCACTGGACCTATCATTACTGTTAAACTAAACTCGGTTGATAAGGGACACTCACTACCACCCTAAAAAGTCAAGAGGACCCCACAATCGGCTGCCTACTACCAGTGGTCTTGCATCTATGGAACCTGTTACCAATCAACTGGTTAAGACAACAGAAAATAACATCAGCACCAAGTTACTGTGAGTTCCTTCCTGTTTATCCTATATTAACTTTTTACTCTTCTGTACACAATGTTGACTAGCAATTAATATTATATCTCCACTCGTTCCCTTATCCACAACTCATACTTCTATACTTTTTCCGCCTGCTTAAATAAACAACTATCCTACAATATACCCTTCTTAACGCTTATACTCTGTTTGGCAAACTATACTTTATACTATAGTCAACAGAGGCACTGCATCGATGCTTTACCCACAGTCCACAGCTTGTAACTGCCTGATAAGCTTGTAAAATGGTACTTATAGAAATAGTGCTTTCCAACAAGTTGTGAAACAGAGGATTGTGTGAGGTATGACGTATATACAAAAATAAGCTTAAATGAGCCTAACATCACAAAAGGAGGGAGGGTGGAGTTACTGACCAGCAAGCATTGATGGTGAGGGCGATAACTTCAATCCACCCGTGTTTGTGGGGACAGAACATTTTGTATGTATCAGGCTCTTTATAATTGAGAATAAGACAGTCAATCTAAGATATAGATTGTCTTCCTACGCTCACCACTCAGACTCATGTTTCCAATAATATGCTGGATTAGCTATTCTACTAAGACAACCTATAACATGCTAACTCGGACTTTTACACTAGGATTGCGTGGCTGACATCGGATGGACAAAAAAAGAAAAGAAAAAAGACAATAAAAGATATAGTCACTAGTATTCTTAACACTTCACCCTCTATATACACACCCTTCTAATAAACCGCTTCCCTTGTACCAACCTTGACTTCCCTTCCTTCATGTGAGCTTACTCCAACTTGTTAAACATCACTACTCGTTGTTCTTTATTAGTACATTCTCTAATATGGAGCCTCTGACTTCACTTCACTCTAACAAGACATAATATGAATTTATTCTAATTTATTATACCTCTGTCCGTTCTACTACACAATGTTAAGCAACCTTTGGCGTTCATATCCAAGTGCCTTGCTGCTCCTCTGTTTCTTTTTTTTTCTCCTTCAGAATCTTGCTCTGAGAGCACAGCTATGAAACTTCTGACGTTTGGAGCGAACTTAACGTACGCGTCCTCTCAAGGTCATAGTTTACAGCAAGCGCTCTACGATTTCACTTTATAACAACTATAAACTTAATAAGTTGGGAAGCATTTTGCGAACCAACAAATGTTGTAATTTATAGATCATGCCTGTAAAAACGGTGTGTACCTGCACATGCAGAAATATATTATTATTATTATTATTATTATTACATCTATGTCTACCACTCCTTGGGTAATGGTATCCAAACAATTCTGGAATAATATCTAAGTCATGGACCAACCACGTTTCTGTCACTGCTACAATGAGAGGCTTTAATCTGTCTACTAATGCTTCTTGTCTACAGAAATTATTTCTTAGACTACGAGCATTAGCATATAAAACCTTGGTAGAACGGCCTATCCACACAGGCCTTGGTAGCATTCGCTTCCAAAACCTGACTATCCGAGAGACATATCAGGTCTAACCTTAATGAGTCTGCATGGTCGGGGTTCAACATTGTTCTCAGTCCTCTTGCCTATTCTAACCAGCTTTTTGACCTGAACAACTTTAGAGTTATCTGGTAAGATACTACGAACATATTCTCCCAGCTTCTCTAAATCATGTGCATTTGACTCCCGCAATTTGCTCACAATAATATTCGATGATATTAGATCCTTCTTCTCAGTCACGCCAGAGCGGGTTTCTCTCTTACTATCAGATTTTGGTAGCGCATTTAGTAACTTTCAATAAGAGTCCACCAGTGACTTGCTAACCATCTGCGTACTGCCTACAGCTTTTTTCGTTTCGTTTCCTTCGTATTGTAGTCCATTTTTCGTCCCTCAGAACACTGGGACTATTCGGGGCAGTGAGAGTTTTATCTAGATCTTCAGTTTTCACTAGAGGTGCATGGTTACCAATGTCAGTGTCAGGTGGTACTGCCTCGCTCGGTAATGTTAACGGAGATTTCACTTTTCCGTCAGTCAAAGTCGGGTGTTTGAGGCGTCTCGTAACAGCAGGTACTACACTGACACATTCGTCACTGTCAGCGCATGCGTCATCGTTCTTCCTAAAGTCCAAAGCCAATAGGCTCATAGCCTCCTGTATGGAAGGGCGGCCTGCTTGAGCATCTGGGCTACCTGTTCCTGCCATCTAGATATTTCAACAAGTTATCTATTGTTGTTTGTTTTAATATATCATTATGTTTATTAATCGCATAACCTATTCTGCTGCGTTTCTGAAAAGTGTACAACCTTTCGTTGTCAAAGTTACAGAAAACTCAATAAGAGACAATATGGTTGCTGGTAATATACAACGAAAAGAATGTACATTATTCAGTTGTTCATTCACTGAAGTGCTAACATCTAACTGGCGATCCCTCAATATTTATCGCCAGGACCGACCAAGAAGAAAGAAACGGAAACTTGTTGAAATACTTTGCGCTGAGAATTCTATATTGTACCAAAATTATAATGCTGAATAAAGCTAATAATAATAATAATATTAGTAACGTCTTATTTGCACAGCAAAACATGCAAAGCCAATGTGAGTTAGGCTTTGAACATCTTTTGTATGCGGTGGGAGTTAAACGGGTGCGCATCTTATGAACAACTTTTTGCATTCATCACACTGCATTCCTTCCTCCACAGGGAACAAACAGTTTGGTTGTCCTTATTTGTGAGTACTACCAACCATTTTAATCAGATTAAGGTGTACAACACAATATGAACACAAGTGTCAGTCAACGAGTAAAAGGGTACCACAAGACAAACTTTAGAAAGATTTCAAACCTTAACTAAAGTACTTCGGTATAGACCGAGAATACTTTTGATGCAACAGTTACACAAAAGTAAGGATAATCACAACAAGTACAAAGTCCCCGCCTTTCTTGAAAGACGCGCCTCCCTTAACGAAGTTTACGATGGATCGAAATTTTCATCGTACCAGTCCTCAAGTACTATATTGTACCGCATGGCTCTTCCGATTTGACTGGGTTGGCACGTGTCGGTTATAAAAAGTGTTACTGGTTAAGGTGTTGTCAAACTCTGAACTGTTCTTTTAAATGGCGCGCGTGCTTACCTACGCTTTCTTAAAAATACTGTAAAAATAATAAATTCTCTTGTAAAAGAATGCTTTCATCCTAATTTGGTGTATTTTGAAGGTAAAACGTTCGCTCATTTGGCTCAGGCAAGTTTGAAATTTATCTTTGTAATATTGAAATGTTGAAGATTGTCCCTGAGGCGTCTCGCGAGTTTATGAATGTAGATAGTGTGACCTGCTCTTCACGAATGAAGGTTGGTATTAGTCTTCGGGTGTTATTTATTTAGTACTCGACGATGCTTGTTTTCTAACCTGATTAATTGTAGGGTTTTGTAATCCTCTAGTCAAAGTACTGTTCGTTTCCTGGTCATGTATATCAGTTGTTGATTTTTTACTTAGTAGTGCTACACACATCACGTGATGTGTGTTGTCTGTAACCGGTTTTCGACATATCACTACATAGAGTTAAGTGGGCTTTCTGAGATCTATCTTCGAGTTTCTTATCTGTAAGCATTTATTTATAAAATTCACTGGTTAATGAGTCTTAGAATTTTACTGAAATCGATTTCTCACCTCACTTGGGATGTACAACTTTCCGTAGATGGTTACCGTAGCTTGTATGTTTGTCGCAATCGATGTATCTTCCTGCATATTGAATCCGAGTCTTTCAAAGTTGCCCAGCTATCATCGCACCATATAATTTAACACGATTAAATTGTAACATGGGATATGTTGTCGCTGGAATTTTCGGAACGGTTAATTGAGTTTTATAGTTAGCCGCGCGTTATTTGTTGCTAAATTAATAACAGAATTGTATGTCGTGTCTCAAGGACCTGTTTGCGTTCGCAACCAGTTTGACAATAGGCATTTGAGTTGTCGCACTCGTCGATCTTCATGGACATAAGTATTCGGATATGAGTTACGCATGGCTAATCACCGCCTACCCCGATATGGAATGCAAGGCGAGGTGGAAGTTTATTTGGAGAAGTTGGCAGTGACCATTAAAGACATGGAATTAAACCATAACAATGCAAGCCTTTTGACCTAGCTGTGCTTGTATTCATAGACTTTCAGGCAGTTGCTGCGACGCTAAGCAACACTATTTGAAGTTGACTGCTCTGGAAGAGGTGTTTTTCCTTTTAACTTATTATTTCTTATTGTTCATACTCCAATGTCATTCGTTCTTTTTGAACTATATCCTAATAAAAGATATTTATTTTCGTAAACACGTTGACAATCGGAATCTCAAAACTTTAACAACTGCCTAGAGAATTTGTTCTGTAGTACAGGGTGTTTGGTGGTCATTAAGTGGAGAAATGCAACACTCGCCAATACGAAATTGTAGTAATGCGGTGTGACAGGGTGACAACTACTCACAGTACCGAACTAGTCACTCAAACGCTTAAATATGTTTTTAATAATAAGCCTTCGAATTCCCTCGTACGGTCGAGAGTGAGGAGAGTCAGCTCTCCCTCTCGAAATGCCCTCAGATGGTCACGTGCATACAACCAATGTCAGGGAAGTCCTACTCATTGCCATCTCAAAGCGGGGGTGTTTTGCGAAATCGAGAGGACGAAGCGCGAATGTCCGACGCTTTAGCTGGGTTTTTGGATACAGAGGATCCACTTAGGGGAATTGGGAAACCGTGATTCCAAACCAATGATTCATTTGGACTCCAGGATCCTGAAGGAACATAAGGTGTGTGAGCCTATTGTTGGTCACCAGCTACTATGGGACTGCACTTCCTAACGTTGCTCCACTGCTTTGTCGATTAGACCTCTAAGTCAAAGGTTCGGGGAGTGGCTTCTAGGGCAAATACCTGTTTCGGTTTGAGCGTCACTATCCCAGCCCTCACACAAATCAAATGATTTGAGTGGTGCATATATTTTAGGTACCTCCTTGTACCAATGTTTATGTTTAAATAATAATAATAATGACAATAATACGCCTAAATGAACTATGATCTAAAACAGGACCATCAATTAGCAAAAGCACTTTTTTTGTGATGGGTCAATATTATTATCTAGAAATTACTAGATATAGAAACAGACGTGCTTGGAAGTCAGTTGAAATGGGCAATTAGAATATACTGTACTTCATGAACTATTCATATATCAATAAAACTAAGACCCAGTTCCTGACCGATATACCATTTTCATTGCAATGGATTCCCCTCCTCATTTTGATTTTTCTTGAGATTCTTGTGCAACATGTGCGAACTTGAGTCAATTTATACATGTACTACATCACTTCGATAGGGACTGACTAGTTCTCGTCAAATCAGTAGATTAAAAGAATCAATAGTGATCAGTTTTAAGTTTCATTTAGCTTCAATGTTTTTAAACTGGCATTCATCCAGAAAATATTGTAGGAATAAGTAAATTAAATTAATCTTATTGGTAAGTATTTTGCAAAACTCAATAAGGAATGCCTGGATTAGGGGTAGGGTATAAGGTAAAGACGATAAATAGACTGAGGTAGTGAAACTTTAGCGACTGAGATAATTATAATATGTATGTATGTATGTATGTATGTATGTATGTATGTATGTATGTATGTATGTATGTATGTATGTATGTATGTTCGATGCACAATGATGGTTAGTGTGGGAGTAGATTAAAAGGATAGAAGGGGCCAAACCAATACGTGACACCAGTTCATAATCATTAACGAATGTGTTGAGACATAGGTAGATGCTGACTACCTGTATTGAGCTTATAAGATTATCGTAACAAGTGGTTAGACTTCGGGTGGCATGTCTCAAAACCGTTCGCAATGGCACAGGTGCATTCTCACTATTTTCCTTCTTCTGGAACCTGATTCCCCAAATCTTATACAATTTTACTATTCCCGTTTATTTACAACTTCTAATACTGTTACTACTCCTAATACTCTTGGATTTTACCTCTCTGTCCTAATTTGGTGTGACGACTCTAACCGATATTCCCACTTGTCAGGTTCTGCGATACACGGTATAATGACGATGACTACACTAACCAGTAACCATCCGATAGTCATTTTCACTATATAAGATTTAACTACAATGTTTGGCTATCCAAACTAAATTACATAGAAAGTAGCTTGAATTTGAAACTTACTTCAATTGAAAATTGAATACTTTCACCGCTAAACCGTCACTCCTACAAACCATCT